AGTAGGCTATTTTCAAAAAAACATCGATCTTATTTCTATATTAGCATTCTTTATCATTTATAATACCTAGATATGTTTTAAAATGCAATTAAAAGCATTTTTGGTTTCGATCATAGTAGGCTATTTTCAAAAAAATATCGATTTTATTTCTATATTAGCATTCTTTATCATTTATAATACCTAGATAAGTTTTAAAATGCAATTAAAAGCATTTTTGGTTTCGATCATAGTAGGCTATTTTCAAAAAAACATCGATTTTATTTCTATATTAGCATTCTTAATCATTTATAATACCAAGATATGTTTTAAAATGCAATTTAAAGCGTTTTTGGTTTCAATCAAAGTAGGCTATTTTCAAAAAAAATATCGATTTTATATCTTTATTAGCATTCTTTATCATTTATAATGCCTAGATATGTTTTAAAATGCAATTTAAAGCATTTTTGGTTTCAATCAAAGTAGGCTATTTTCAAAAAAATATCGATTTTATTTCTATATTAGCATTCTTTATCATTTATAATACCTAGATAAGTTTTAAAATGCAATTTGAAGCAATTTTAGTTTCGATCATAGTAGGCTATTTTCAAAAAAACATCGATTTTATTTCTATATTAGCATTCTTAATCATTTATAATACCAAGATATGTTTTAAAATGCAATTTAAAGCGTTTTTGGTTTCAATCAAAGTAGGCTTTTTTCAAAAAAAATATCGATTTTATATCTTTATTAGCATTCTTTATCATTTATAATGCCTAGATATGTTTTAAAATGCAATTTAAAGCATTTTTGGTTTCAATCAAAGTAGGCTATTTTCAAAAAAACATCGATTTTATTTCTAAATTAGCATTCTTAATCATTTATAATACCAAGATATGTTTTAAAATGCAATTTAAAGCGTTTTTGGTTTCAATCAAAGTAGGCTATTTTCAAAAAAAATATCGATTTTATATCTTTATTAGCATTCTTTATCATTTATAATGCCTAGATATGTTTTAAAATGCAATTTAAAGCATTTTTGGTTTCAATCAAAGTAGGCTATTTTCAAAAAAATATCGATTTTATTTCTATATTAGCATTCTTTATCATTTATAATACCTAGATAAGTTTTAAAATGCAATTTGAAGCAATTTTGGTTTCGATCATAGTAGGCTATTTTCAAAAAAACATCGATCTTATTTCTATATTAGCATTCATTATCATTTATAATACCTAGATATGTTTTAAAATGCAATTAAAAGCATTTTTGGTTTCGATCATAGTAGGCTATTTTCAAAAAAATATCGATTTTATTTCTATATTAGCATTCTTTATCATTTATAATACCTAGATAAGTTTTAAAATGCAATTTGAAGCAATTTTGGTTTCGATCATAGTAGGCTATTTTCAAAAAAACATCGATTTTATTTCTATATTAGCATTCTTCATCATTTATAATACCAAGATATGTTTTAAAATGCATTTTAAAGCGTTTTTGGTTTCAATCAAAGTAGGCTATTTTAAAAAAAAATATCGATTTTATATCTTTATTAGCATTCTTTATCATTTATAATGCCTAGATATGTTTTAAAATACAATTTAAAGCATTTTTGGTTTCAATCAAAGTAGGCTATTTTCAAAAAAACATCGATTTTATATCTTTATTAGCATTCTTTATCATTTATAATACCTAGATATGTTTTAAAATGCAATTTAAAGCATTTTTGGTTTCGATCAAAGTAGGCTTTTTTCAAAAAAACATCGATTTTATATCTTTATTAGCATTCTTTATCATTTATAATACCTAGATAAGTTTTAAAATGCAATTAAAAGCATTTTTGGTTTCGATCATAGTAGGCTTTTTTCAAAAAAAACATCGATTTTATATCTTTATTAGCATTCTTTATCATTTATAATACCTAGATAAGTTTTAAAATGCAATTAAAAGCATTTTTGGTTTCGATCATAGTAGGCTATTTTCAAAAAAATATCGATTTTATTTCTATATTAGCATTCTTTATCATTTATAATACCTAGATAAGTTTTAAAATGCAATTTGAAGCAATTTTGGTTTCGATCATAGTAGGCTATTTTCAAAAAAACATCGATTTTATTTCTATATTAGCATTCTTAATCATTTATAATAGCAAGATATGTTTTAAAATGCAATTTAAAGCATTTTTGGTTTCGATCAAAGTAGGCTTTTTTCAAAAAAACATCGATTTTATATCTTTATTAGCATTCTTTATCATTTATAATACCTAGATATGTTTTAAAATGCAATTAAAAGCATTTTTGGTTTCGATCATAGTAGGCTATTTTCAAAAAAATATCGATTTTATTTCTATATTAGCATTCTTTATCATTTATAATACCTAGATAAGTTTTAAAATGCAATTAAAAGCATTTTTGGTTTCGATCATAGTAGGCTATTTTCAAAAAAACATCGATTTTATTTCTATATTAGCATTCTTAATCATTTATAATACCAAGATATGTTTTAAAATGCAATTTAAAGCGTTTTTGGTTTCAATCAAAGTAGGCTATTTTCAAAAAAAATATCGATTTTATATCTTTATTAGCATTCTTTATCATTTATAATGCCTAGATATGTTTTAAAATGCAATTTAAAGCATTTTTGGTTTCAATCAAAGTAGGCTATTTTCAAAAAAATATCGATTTTATTTCTATATTAGCATTCTTTATCATTTATAATACCTAGATAAGTTTTAAAATGCAATTTGAAGCAATTTTAGTTTCGATCATAGTAGGCTATTTTCAAAAAAACATCGATTTTATTTCTATATTAGCATTCTTAATCATTTATAATACCAAGATATGTTTTAAAATGCAATTTAAAGCGTTTTTGGTTTCAATCAAAGTAGGCTTTTTTCAAAAAAAATATCGATTTTATATCTTTATTAGCATTCTTTATCATTTATAATGCCTAGATATGTTTTAAAATGCAATTTAAAGCATTTTTGGTTTCAATCAAAGTAGGCTATTTTCAAAAAAACATCGATTTTATTTCTAAATTAGCATTCTTAATCATTTATAATACCAAGATATGTTTTAAAATGCAATTTAAAGCGTTTTTGGTTTCAATCAAAGTAGGCTATTTTCAAAAAAAATATCGATTTTATATCTTTATTAGCATTCTTTATCATTTATAATGCCTAGATATGTTTTAAAATGCAATTTAAAGCATTTTTGGTTTCAATCAAAGTAGGCTATTTTCAAAAAAATATCGATTTTATTTCTATATTAGCATTCTTTATCATTTATAATACCTAGATAAGTTTTAAAATGCAATTTGAAGCAATTTTGGTTTCGATCATAGTAGGCTATTTTCAAAAAAACATCGATCTTATTTCTATATTAGCATTCATTATCATTTATAATACCTAGATATGTTTTAAAATGCAATTAAAAGCATTTTTGGTTTCGATCATAGTAGGCTATTTTCAAAAAAATATCGATTTTATTTCTATATTAGCATTCTTTATCATTTATAATACCTAGATAAGTTTTAAAATGCAATTTGAAGCAATTTTGGTTTCGATCATAGTAGGCTATTTTCAAAAAAACATCGATTTTATTTCTATATTAGCATTCTTCATCATTTATAATACCAAGATATGTTTTAAAATGCATTTTAAAGCGTTTTTGGTTTCAATCAAAGTAGGCTATTTTAAAAAAAAATATCGATTTTATATCTTTATTAGCATTCTTTATCATTTATAATGCCTAGATATGTTTTAAAATACAATTTAAAGCATTTTTGGTTTCAATCAAAGTAGGCTATTTTCAAAAAAATATCGATTTTATTTCTATATTAGCATTCTTTATCATTTATAATACCTAGATAAGTTTTAAAATGCAATTTGAAGCAATTTTGGTTTCGATCATAGTAGGCTATTTTCAAAAAAACATCGATTTTATTTCTATATTAGCATTCTTTATCATTTATAATACCTAGATATGTTTTAAAATGCAATTTAAAGCATTTTTGGTTTCAATCATAGTAGGCTATTTTCAAAAAAAAATATCGATTTTATATCTTTATTAGCATTCTTTATCATTTATAACACCAAGATATGTTTTAAAATGCAATTTAAAGCATTTTTGGTTTCGATCATAGTAGGCTATTTTCAAAAAAACATCGATCTTATTTCTATATTAGCATTCTTTATCATTTATAATACCTAGATATGTTTTAAAATGCAATTTAAAGCATTTTTGGTTTCAATCATAGTAGGCTATTTTCAAAAAAAAATATCGATTTTATATCTTTATTAGCATTCTTTATCATTTATAATACCTAGATAAGTTTTAAAATGCAATTAAAAGCATTTTTGGTTTCCATCATAGTAGGCTTTTTTTCAAAAAAACATTGATTTTATATCTTTATTAGCATTCTTTATCATTTATAATACCTAGATAAGTTTTAAAATGCAATTAAAAGCATTTTTGGTTTCGATCATAGTAGGCTATTTTCAAAAAAATATCGATTTTATTTCTATATTAGCATTCTTTATCATTTATAATACCCAGATAAGTTTTAAAATGCAATTTGAAGCAATTTTGGTTTCGATCATAGTAGGCTTTTTTCAAAAAAATATCGATTTTATATCTATATTAGCATTTTTCATAATTTATAATACCTAGATATGTTTGAAAATGCAATTAAAAGCATTTTTGGTTTTAATCATAGTAGGCTATTTTCAAAAAAACATTGATTTTATTTCTATATTAGCATTCTTTATCATTTATAATACCTAGATATGTTTTAAAATGAAATTTAAAGCAATTTTGGTTTTAATCATAGTAGGATTTTTTCAAAAAAATATCGATTTTATATCTTTATTAGCATTCTTTATCATTTATAATACCTAGATATGCTTTAAAATGCAATTTAAAGCATTTTTGAAGCAGCTTGAAGCCATGAGATCGTGAGACAGCAATTCTTTATCATCCACATATACATACTGTCCATTATACTCAATTATGTCTTCATCAGAAGATTAACTATTCGCACTCCTAGTAGCTTCCGAATCATGTTCTTTATCACTGTCACTAAAGTCGTCGAAATTATCCGATAAAAAGGGATTAATCATTTCATCGTTAACATCAGGCGACACATCATCATCACTACTATAGCCTAGCGGAAACATAACATCACAGAGTCTTGCCACTAGACTATTAATATCATCTGGATTAGCATCAACTTGCTCAGGCTGTACGTGGTGATTTGCTATTAAATAGACCAATTCCTCTATCTTCGTCTCGTATTGGATCTTATTGTCAGCCAAATAATTGTCGTCGTGACCATCTCTCTTGGTAAGCAATAAGTTTGGTCAGTTTACCACGAATGGTGTCAAGTATAATTATTAAATATGTTGTATGTCGAATAGCCAGGACCTGTGCTCCATGCGTTTGTTTGGGTTTATTAAACAAAGAAGTAAGTATGGATAAATATTATGCATTGGTTATTTCATGCATTTCACACGCGTTTAGTCACCTTATAACCTCTTCTCTGTTGTCTCGGTTCTTGATCTGCAACTATCGATGGATTTTAAAAATACTTTTTAAATAAATAGATTTTTTGGATGACTTTTGGAAAATTGGCAGCAAAAAATCGAAATTTTATTGATTTTTCCCATAAGAGACACAGATTTTATGATTCTTATCGATGTAAAAATCTAAAATGTACACTACTTTTGATATCATATATTTCTAATCGCTGTATTAATTAAGTTATTTGGATTCTTTAGTAAATAACTCGATGACAGAAATCGGAATTTTCAATTTTCATCATCCGAAGAATCGAAAATTAGAGAAAACTATTGATATGCACATTGAATAATTTTTACTGAGTTATAGAACAGACAAAAATCTTTAATTTGGTTGCTTTTTTGTGTGCTTTAAGTCATTAATTAATGAAATATTTCAATTCTTTGAAAAATTTCCTTGTGTCATCGAGTTATAAAGAAGCTTTTTTTTACCTCAATCTAAAAATCCCTAAAATGCAGATGCCCTAAAATGCAGATAGAACTGCCAAGATGCAGATGGTACTGCTAAAGTGCAGATGAAATTTATTTTCCCTAAAATGCAGATGAAATGCTGTTCCTTTAAAAAAGGTATAATGCAGATGATTTTTACCGTATAAAGTGCAGATAAGATGCTGCCCAAATGTAGATCGTATAATTTTATTAAAATAAAGATGAAATGCTGGTTTAATGTAGATAATTTAACGTTGGATATTAATTATTTGAGCACCGACGAAAAACGATTATTCGAGAGTGACGCTATGGTTTCTTAAATATATCCGAAACCACAAAAGTGACAAATTTCTAAGTTATTTTATCTTGTAGAAAACAAAAATTGCTTTCTTTTGTCATAGAACTCATGTTATGGAGTTATATCGGAAAATCACCTTAATTAAGCGTCACTCACGAATAATTTTTGTGAATTTTGTTATAACTTTGTCAGCTTTCATCAGATTTTGATTTAAATCTCAATGATAAATGATTTTAAAAAGGGATATTGATTTAAATCATTTTTGCAAAGGGATTTTTTTGGGAATTTTGATTTAAATCTCTTGTATGAAAGATTTTTTTGGGATTTTAAAATCCTTCCATATAAAATTTTTGTATGCAATTTCTTAAATTTTTTTTTCAAATCAACAGTTTTCAGTTGCAGTTCCTCATAAGTAAGAATGCAGTTGATCCTTTTTCGGCCAGAATCTTGCAACTGGATCTTTTCAATCCAAAAATTTCTTTAATAAAGGTTACAGCAACCAATGGTTCCATGCTTTTTGACTTAAACAAGTATGTTTATCTAATCATATAAGTATAAAGCATAACTTTCAGTCATATTTGATCATCAGGTATGAAAGGAACCGATTAGTTGCGCAAAAAATTTTTGACTTCAAGAGGTGATTCCTTGATGAAAAAGCAACAAAAAAAATTTTGTTGATGTAAAGGAACTAGGCAGTTCAAGTGCCTGTTCTTGCTTATGACTCATTAAACAAACGTAGATTCCTTTGGTACTGTAATAAAACTGTTTTTCCAGGCATGCTTGATTGGATTTCGTTCAAGTCAAACAGCATGGAACCATTGGTTGCTGTAACCTTTATTAAAGAAATTTTTGGATCGAAAAGATCCAGTTGCAAGATTCTGGCCGAAAAAGGATCAACTGCATTCTTACTTATGAGGAACTGCAACTGAAAACTGTTGATTTGAAAAAAAAATTAAAATTTAAGAAATTGCATACAAAAATTTTATATGGAGGGATTTTTAAATCCCAAAAAAATCTTTCATACAAGAGATTTAAATCAAAATCCCAATAAAAAAATGATTTAAATCAAAATCCCTTTTTAAAATCATTGCAAAAAGATTTCGATTTTGATTTTGATTTTTGATTTAAATCACCCACTCTGTCTATTGGTTTTGTTCAGTTCGAAGAAACCCAATGCAGATATATTCACACCGTACCATCAAAAGTCTTATGGATAGACCAAGATTTGCTTAGCATAAGTTTGAAGGTTTAAAGCTTAACGAACTTTCATCCAAAGTTTAATTTAAAAAAATCACAGTGAACTTTTGTTTTTGAAAAATTCATAAGAAAGGAAAGTTTTTTGCTTTTTCTGAAGCAACGGCTGTTCTTACCTTGCCTAAAAACAATACAGCTCTTCTATAGAGCAGCACGGATCAAATGTAAAAAACTAGAAGTCTCTACGATGTCTCGTTATTGAGATTTCTTGCATGCTTGCTTGTTTGCTTACAGAAAGCATGTTTTGCGATTTTCTCAGCAATGCCACAACCAATTTGAAATCTGTTTTTTGAAAAAGATGTGAAATTCAAGGCACAAACTTTTCATGTGTGAACATTTTAAGCTATCTTGCTCCATATCCTCACAAAATTCAAAAAACTGATTTTTCAATCTGAACAAAACCAATAGATTCACACGTGAAAACGGTGTGAATATAAAAAGTCCCAGAAGTAAAGTTTGTGTCTGAAATTTTACATCATTTGCAAAAAACAGATTTCAAATTGGTTGTGGCATTGCTTAGAAAATCGCAAAATACGCTTTCTGTAAGCAAGCAAACAAACAAACAAGCATGCAAGTTACTCAGCAAGAAATCTCAGTTCTCTAGTATCTCTAGTTTTATACATTTGATCCGTGCTGCTCTATAGATGAGCTGTATTGTTTTTGGGCAAGGTAGGAACAGCCGTTGCTTCAAAAAAGCAAAAAACTTTCCTTTCTCACGAATTTTTCAAAAACAAAAGTTCACTGTGATTTTTATAAAATAACTTTGGATGAAAAATGTTTTTAAAAAACTTTAAAGAATGCTCGTTAAGCTTTAAACCTCCAAATATATGCTGAGCGCAGCTCAGCTGGTTCGTCAGGATTTACACTTTCAAATTAATACTGAGCAAATCTTGGTCTTTCCGCAAGACTTTTGATGGTACGGTGCGAATATACCCGTATTGGGTTTCTACCCGATACACTAGTTTTGTTGTTAAAAAAGTTACAGGAAAACAAAAATGCATTTTTGAATACATTGCAAACTTTATAACTTTAAATTACTTTATATATACATAAATATGTCGTCAGACAAAACAATAACTCTTAAATTTAAGTCTATCATAAGAAGAGAAAAGAATCAAATGATCATCACGGATCATTTAAAGTCATTAACACTTGATTAACACGCATCAAGAAAAAAATCATTGAATATTGATGTATTTTATTAAAATTATACGATCTACATTTGGGCAGCATCTTACCTGCACTTTATACGATAAAAATCATCTGCATTATACCTTTTTTAAAGCAACAGCATTTCATCTGCATTTTAGGGAAAATAAATTTCATCTGCACTTTAGCAGTACCATCTGCATCTTGGCAGTTCTATCTGCATTTTAGGGTAGCTGCATTTTAGGGATTTTTAGATTGAGGTCTTTTTTTTGTCTTAATCCGTGAAAAAATAAAAAATTTTCAAACATAGTTTTTCAATTTTTCACTTAATTTGGGTGAGTTGTAACATTTCAATAGATCACTTGTAAAGAATTAATTATGTTTTATGATCTACGAAAGTTTTGGCTTATTATTCCTTCACAGTAATATGAAATTAAAGAAAACATTTTACTGGCACAAAACTCATTGAAATTGGATTATGAAAGCTCTTTTTTTCAAATTCGACTCATCCAAAGAATTGCCCTTAAATAAAATTTTCTGTTGTTTACAGATCAACTGTTTAAGCAAGCTAAAATACTTTTTATAGTTTCTGTCTGTCTGCCGAAAAAGCATAGATTTTTTAAATAAATAAAATTCGTTTATTGTCAAATGCTTAACGTCAAATGTTTAACGCAAAATATCTAATTATTTTGCGTTTAATTACTGATCATGAGAAGATTAGGAGATCATAAATTTTAATGTAATCAACAAATAATTATAATGAATGTCCATATAGAAAGTCTTGATCATTTAACCTTTTTTTGGAATCAAAAATATTTGAATTTTCCCGCTAAATGTTGCAGTACAAAAAAAATGATTATAGTATAATTAATAATTTGTTAAAATTAATTTCCATATAGAAAGGATTTATCATTTAAAGTTTTTTTTTGGAATTCAAAAAACTTTAATATTTTCAAGTTTTATCTCACAAAACTGAATTTTGTTCAAAATGACAATAAAACCTGAAATTAAAATTTCACAGACCACAACAAACAAAATTCATCCAGATGAGATTCAAAAGCTGCATAAAATTTATTCATTATAATGATCGACCTGCAACTGTTTGGCTAATAAAGGTGCCATAAAATATTCATAAAAATTATCTTTGGAGATTAAAGAAGTAAATTTTTGATTCTGGAACGAAAAGATTCAAGCAAAAGAAAGTTAATTTTTACAATTCATAAGAATTCATCATGTCATAAATTTTGAGGGTCGAACACACACTTCCACCCCCTTACCTTGGACATTTTTATGATAATTCACAAACATTCATACACAGAGATCAATAATAACCGTAAAAAGGGTTAAATGTTTTATTGTTTTATGGAATGAGATTGACGTTTGAAAAGTCAAACAATCCTTGTGAATCCTTTTGTTCAATAAAAAGGATTTCGGGGATTTTTTGTCTCACTTACTTCTCGATGATAAACGTAACTTTTATGTGTTTTAGTAAAAGGATTAACCATAAAGTATTAAAAAGTTAATGCCGAAGAAGAAGATTGCTAAGCCATTTTATGGTTTAATTATGCTTACATGTATACATAAATTTATTTATTTATTTTTACTTCTCCTTTTCTTTTTTTCTTGACCTGACAATCAATTTTGATTACCTAGGATCGTCGTTTGCTTCTAAGAAGAACTGTTAGGTTCTTTTTCCTTCTTTTTTTTCTTTCTCTTCTTCTCATTCCTCAACAAGAGACTAATTTGTGAGCATGCTCAAGGCAAGAGACGCGCCCATTTTTTTTCTTCTCTTTACTTCGTCTCGGATCGTTGATCAAGTTGACTGTGTGGTTGTGTAACGACATATGCCTTACAGCCAATGCGTGTTGACTCACATGTGAATGTATATGTTAAGCAGTGCTACATCTTGTTATCTCACTCATATTCTCTTTCTATCTCATCTGAGTGAGAGAAATTTTCGTCGTCACATTTATCATCTCTTGAGATCTCCGTCCAACAACAACAACAACACAACGACGAGCACAGTATAAAGCATTGTGGATGAAGAAGAAGACAAGATTTGGACAGAAGAAAAAAAATGAAAGAATGAAACAATTAAGTGTTTTTAATTTGCATAAATAAATATAAACAAATAAATAATCATCGAATTACGATCATAATGTGATTATGAAAAGATATAACGAGATAGAAAATGATGAGTCGGTCATCATAATCATCAGTTCTTCGTCTTCAGCTATTTTTTAAGTGATAAAAAATTTCTTGTGCTTATTACAAGGTGTTTCTGCTATGAAAGACAACGAGACATTCATGAATTTTACTGCCTCGCCTCGCCATCTCTTCCCTTAATGTGCTGACACATAGCATGCTATAAATAATATCTTTCGATATTTAATAATTTTTTTTATGTCTCAAAAAGTCGTAAAAAAAGTTTTTCGAATTTATTAGAAGAATTTTTACTCAACAGATCATCATTCGAAGATCATTGAATTTTGCCTATTTAACGCCGCTTGCTATACACACAATCATGCATATTAAAAGTCCTATCGCGAGAGCTATTAACAACTTGACAATTTATTTTTACGATTTTGCGTTTAATCAAGCAATTAAATGGATCTAAAAGTAATGATTTCGTATCATGACATTCATAGCTAAAGTTATACTTTATTGTATGATTGGGGATTATAGGAGGCGATATTAATATTATAATATTATAAAAACACACAAAATGTACATAAAAATGTCACATTACTGCTTAAAACAATGCCAGATTAATGGGATTACAGAAAGGCAGTATTAATTGGTAATTTTCAGGTAAACGAAGAATTTAATGAGCATGATAATCTAATGCCTTTATGTATGTTGATTTTTGTGCGTCATTTGAAGAGATTTATATTTCTGAGTTAATAATTTTTGGGAGTAATTAGCTTGTATCTTGATATGGCTTAGCATAAGTCAAGCTATTATCAAAAGTTGAATATTCATCTGATGTATTAAACATTGCATGGCAATATTTTAACGAAATCAGGTAGAATATTAGGTTAATATCAATGAAATTTCATCAAAAGATTGTTTATAATTAAAGATTTAATGAAATATATTAATAATAGAAATTTAACGGAAAAATTAATTTTAAATTTTCTCAACTCACAGTATGTTGCACACTATTTGTGTTTTTATAATTTTCATTTCAATTTCAGCTTTTAAACAGAAAACATCAACGAAAGTAACTTTAATTTAATTATTAGACTTAAAACATTATTGTTTTAACAAAGTATTACGGTTGGTATGTGCAATTACTTATAATGTATTGCAAAGATTGTTGAATAAACATTCTTTCGCTTAATATTCTTGTTTAAAGATATTTTCTGTATTCAAATAGCTTCACTTAATAATTTCTGAACTGCGAAGGCAGCATTTAATAGATTCTGAGTTTAAAAAGCGGAACTTTACAGAATCTTTGTTGAATCGGCAATATCAAAATTTATACTTTGTTTACTGAATAAACATTGAAGATTAAGAATGAGAAAAGTTTAAAAGTTTATTAATTGATATAAGATGAAAGAGCCACACTATTAGTAGGAACATAATCACAGTAATTTGACGTGAATTAGATGATAAATTGAGATCTAAGAGTGTGACAATAAAGACGTCCAGCCGTGAGTGCAAAAAGATTATTTCAATAAATATCATTTTGAATGTAGAGAAGATGAAAAGGCGCCTTTGACAAATTCTTCTCTTTCATTTCTTTCCTCTTCTTCTTCCTCTATGTGTGACGAGATCAGTCCTAATATTTATTTATTCATTCTTTCTTTCTTTCGGCACACAATTTTTTTTTTTCGTGTATCCAACGACGACAACATGCAAACAATGACAAAAGAAAGAAAAAATGTCAAAAATTTTTGATTAATTTTTATTTCATGCATATGTCGCTGCTATGTCTCATGTACAAATAATACAATAACAAACAGATTAAACAAAGACCGAAAATTGGCAAGAGAGAGAAAATATTGAATTAATTAAATTTTTCCTCCCGAATAACAACAAAAAAAACACACAACATGAATAGAAAAAAGAAATTTGTAAAAAATCTAACTTTTGGAAATGGCATGAGACATGAATTTCCCCCTTTTCACAATTTCTACGCATGTTTTTTCCTTACCACATGAATGATACTCGTGCTGTTTCGTTCTTGCACACGATGTGTATACGTACGAGATAGCATGATGTATACGGAGTTGAAATAGCTTGAAGTAGGTGGGAACTTTTATCCGATTTGCCTACCAACAGAGCACCACTAGCTTTACTCACTGTGAAACAACGATTCCTGTTGAGAGACCGGGGTCAATCTTGATAGAATTTTTTTAGAGTTTTAGTCGTTAGTTGTATTCCCGCTGCGTATGTCGTTGATCCGTAGAGCATGCTGATTTTTTTGCGCCTAGACATTTCAGTTTGAAAAGTTTTACACATCGGTTTTGTGGCTCAAAAAATTCGTTCCGAGGGAATTTTATTTAAAAAATAAAATAAATTTTTTTTGTGAATTAAAAAAAGGAAAAAATAAATTAAGGAATTTTAAAAGAAAGAAATTAAATTCAAAATTGTGAAAAAATGAGAAAATTTAAACTTTGTGATTGAAAAATATTTTTAAAAATAACAAAATAAAGTGAAAAAATTGTGAAAAGTGAACAGATTTATAGAAAATATTAAAATTTATGTGCAAAAAAAATTGATTTGTGAAAAAATAAACTTAAAATATTGACATTTAATAATTTTTACGGTTAAAAAAATAAGATACAAAAATGATGATGAATGGTTTTATGGACACATCGTCACCATACACTCATTTGGCATCGTTTGGATTAAAGATGTCGCCAAATCATGATGCAAGCAGTTCATTAAGTCAACAACATTCACATCTTGCCAGTTTTGGATTGAAGATGTCACCAAATCACGATAGTGCAGTTCAACAGCACTCACATCTTGCATCGTTTGGCTTAAAAATGTCACCAAATCAAAATGAGACGAGAAGTAATTCGTTAGCTAATGATCACACATCCATGTTACATGGAAGTGGAAATTCTCTTACTGACATGTCAACTGCTTCAGTTGCTCATAATCCTTACTCGAGTGCTCAAACAAGCAATGGATATCCGACATCACACTATATACCACCCACACATATGGGACAAATTAATCAGATTCCAACGTACAGTGCAAAAGATTTCCTTTTTAAACGAGAAAATGATTACATGACTCCCACAGCCACGGGTGGACCTCAGTCAAATCCATCAGCTGATCCATCGCTTTATCATCACACATCAATTCATGATAATCTAAATCATCATGCAGCAGCATCAGCTGCACCATTGGCAAATCATCATTTTCATCAGCATCAAATGCGTATGGGAATCACACCCGATTATTCTCATCATTATCATCAGTCAAACTATCCGTCGGTACATCATCATAATCTTGCCAATTTGCCAGTTAATCATGGAACATCTGGTGCATTTTTCCGATACATGAGACATCCACCAGCAATTAAACAAGAGATGCAATGCTTGTGGGTCGATATGGATGGTCCACATCCAGTCGGTCAACCAATCTGCTCCAATTCGAATCGTAAAACATGCAACAAAATTTTTAATTCAATGCAAGAAATTGTGACACATTTGACAGTTGATCATGTTGGTGGACCTGAAATTACTTCACATTGCTGCTACTGGTTAGCATGCTCCCGCAATGGACGTCCATTTAAAGCAAAATACAAGCTAGTAAATCATATTCGAGTGCATACAGGTGAATTAAGTGTGACTTGAAATTGATCAACGTTTACTCGAGGATTTTATTCATAAACATGAAGTTTTCTCTTGTGACTAAGTTTCTGTTGTGATAGTTTAAAGTGCTTGAAAAAGAATTATTGAGGAATGAAGAAAGAATCGAGTAAATGGTGATTTTAGTGTTAAGAATCTAATCGTGTGATTTGGTTTGTGGAGAGTTTTTGGAATTAAATTGAATAACCTGGAAAATAATCAAGTAACAAAACCAACTTTGAGACATAAAGCGCATTTTCTTGGAACTAAGCTATTACTTTAATTTTACTTAATTAATAAAAATTATGAATTAAGTGTCTATGCTTTGGCTTAAGAGAATTGCATAATTATGACTTTTAAAATTGAAGAACCTTAAAAAATAGAAATTCAAAATTTTTTGAAAATTTGAAAAGTATTTATTTGAATTTCAAAACTTAATAAGAATAAAGTGCACTTTATATCCTGAAAGAAGTTATAACTTAAACATTTTCCTTCGATTTTTCAATTTATCATTCCAAAAATATTCAAAAAATAAAACACAGTAACCAACTCTACATGAACAACACAAAAAAAAATTGTAAAATAAAATAAAAGTTAAATCAATTAAATATTGACAACCCATTCCATCCATTTATAGGTGAAAAACCATTTCCATGTCCATTTCCTGCTTGCGGGAAAGTTTTTGCTCGATCTGAAAATTTAAAGGTAAGTTTAATTATCAATAATTATATTTTAAACTGATACCAATCAGAAATTGAAGCTAATGAAATTAAGTTTGAATTTTTATTGTCTTTTTTGGAATGTTTGGTTAAAAAGATTTTAAAGATTCAAAGAATTTAAATTCCTTATAAGCTACAATCTCTTCTCCAATTCCAAAAATTAATTTTCTTCTTTTACCTTATTTAGATTCACAAACGTACGCATACTGGTGAGTACTTCCACTTATTTTACTTTATTCTCATCGGACCGAACTCAAATTATTTTTGTATCCGTCGGTCATTTTTCCTTTTTTAATAATTTTTATTGCGCAACTCACATTAAAGCTTCCTTTCTTCTCATTTGTGGCTGTGGAAAAACTTTATTGTGTGGAAAATTAGAAGAAAATTCATGTGAAAAAAAAAGAAAAAAAAAATCATTAAATTGTGAGCCTTTTAAATTCTCAAGATCTGCTGCTCCCTCTAATATTCTTGACATTCATATTATTTTGTCATCAGCTCGGGGTTCAATTTTATTGTCAAAACATTTAACTTTTTTTTGTCACCCTCGCCTTTTTTCCCTTCAGTTCCTTTTTTATTATTGCAATATCTCGCAGATTTTTCTTTCCTTTTTTTAACAAACGACACAAAAGAGTAAGGAATAAAGAAGGAAAAACTCGTGCAGAAAATTTATGGATAAATTTAAAGATGTCATTTATGTATTATGGTAAAAGGAAACAGATTCTTTTCATATGCTATCGAATATCTTGATATATTTTTTATTGCTTATTTCTTGTGCCAATGAATCTTAGTGCAACAGATTCAGCAATTCCAGATCTATAAATTATTTTTTTCAACATTAATCAATTGATTGAAAAATATCAAAATTCTCATTTAATTATTGACTTTTCAAAAACAATCTGTCAAATTCAGTGCCAAGTCCTTGCCTTACTTACATACGACTTCATTAAATAATACCTTTTTATTTAAATCTAAATGATTTTATTTACAGTAAATGATTTATTGACTAAACTTGTGATATTCATTAATTAAATTTCATCTATGTCTTTTACGATTGCTGTTCAATCTTAATTTTCTGTTTGAAGTCTGAAAAGTATGAAATTAGAGTAAATTGCGTTGATATTTTATTTTCTTTTCATTAATCTAGTGAATATTTGTTGAATTCAGCGTAAATATTGCTTAATAGCACTGAATTCAGACATAATAAGCTTTTTAGAGCTGAATTCAGCTTACAAATCATCAACTGATGCTTATAAGTTGCTGAATTTAGAAAAATTTTAATTATGCTGATTATAGTTCGATAAAAGGCAAAACATTGCTGAATTGTGCTGAATATCTAAAGAAATACTCTCGCTACACTGAATTTCGTAACATAGCGTTGAATGGAACTAAATTCAACATCAAAAAATTCAAATAATTTCAAAAATATTCATTATTTACATTCACAAAATTCAAAAATGATCTCATTTATCACTTTTAGCACCTCTTAAACTGCTGCGAAAAATCTATCGACTGTAACAAAAATATTCAATCCTCGATCGAGTGAAAATTTCAGTTTTTCATTCAGAGTTCATTGAAAATCTGTTTCTAGTTCCCTATCAAAATGTACAGATATTGGTAAATGTTTAAAATTCAATAAATCAATCAGTGAGAAAAATATTTGAAAAACAATAACATACTTTAAGTAAATAACAGCTCAAATGATTGAAAATAGTGAGGAGGAACATATTTTTTTTTACCTTCCAAAAAAGATCTTTTAAATCTGTTGAATAAGAAGCAGAATAGAGAGAGAATGAAGCATCTATCAAAGCCTATTTAAAGTGTGAGTGAAAATTAATTAAAATGTCAAATTGAGATTTTTTTTCTCCCCATTGCGAAGAATATCTCCTCTGGATTTTCTCATATAAATTAGACGAGATTCAGAATAATAAGAACCATAAAGAGAGAGAAAGAATATCCAGTTCATTTTCACTTTTCAAAAATATATAATAAACATTAAACATATATGAGATTTTTGGTGTTATTCACACTTATCGAAATTAAATTAATGAAAATTTAATCATCATCCTCAACTGACTTACTCTACAAATTTGATACAGTTCCAAAACGTTAAGTCTATTTCACTTAATTCGGTTACTTTTCTATCTTAGTCAGGCCCCTAGTTAGAAAATAAATAAACAAATCTCATCATCATCATCACTCTTAATATTGGAATATTGCTGGAAGAAAATATGGTCGAGAAATTGTTGGATTGATGCTTTTTAAGCGCATTTTAATTGGTTTTACTCTAGTTCAGCTCATTTTCAACTTAATTTAGTTCATTTTTGCTAAATTCAGCTCAATTCAGCATATTTTATTTAATTCAGCTCAATTCAGAGTCTTCATATTGAATTCAGCACATTTTTTGCTGAATAAAGCAGAATTTAGCGTCGTTTTCAATTCAGCGTCTTTACATTAAATTCAGTTCAATTAAGCTTCTTTTTATATAATTCAGCATCTTTTAGCTGAATAAAGCAGAATTGAGATTCTTTTTTTATTGAATTCAGAAGCACTTAAAGTCTTTATTTAGCATAAGGATGCTAAATTCAGAACAAAGCAGACAAAACGAACTTATCACCCCAGATCTTCAAAAAAGAAAGCCCTCAATAATTGCTAGAAATCATTTGACACGTGTTTTACTCTAATTTCTTTTTAAATATATTGAGATATTTACACGTTAAGGAACACACAGTTGATTTGATGATGATAAACATCTTGTAAATTGATGTGTTGCACTTGAGGATAAAGAAAAAGGGAATCAACGCTCTAATTTACCATATCATTAAGACTTACGTCTTCTCACTTCTCTGCCCTTCATCAATCGAACTTTGGAGGATCATTAAGCTGTTGTTCTTCCATTCCTTTTTGATTTCTCAAGTGCACACTCCAAAAAAAAAAGTCTATGATTTTTCAATATTTTCACAAAATTATTTACGGTAGAAATTTCAAAGATTTTATATTGTATAATCAAATTAGCAGTTGAGTGAGTGTGTGCCACACGCTCCTCATCATTGACTGTGATTGTTTTGTGTTATACACAAGGCATTGTGAGGGATGAGAATTGCTCTTGAGGGTAAATACAAAATCAGATTTAACCATTGTCTCTTGAGAGACATTTTCACATTCTCAAACACCCTCAATTTCCTGTAATGTCTTTTGTAATGAATTTATTTACCAAAATTAAATTAGATACACAAATTCATCTATTAATCATATTATTGTTATTTATTGAGGCCTTCTCGGTAAACATGAACCCTTTGAGTATGTATCATACCTATAATTAAATGTGGATCGTCCAAACATGCCCATTTTTTTCATGTTCCAGATGTTTAAGAATTTTTCTTGTGTCTAAAAATACATAAAAAAACTGTTTTGAAAGTTATTTGAGAATCTTTCCACACATAAAACAATTTGAGAAGAGATTTTGAGGAATAAACATGAGATGTATCTGTATCATGTTGATGACTTTACAACTTCGAACATCTCACACATCACATTTTTGTGTCATATTACAGAAATGAAATTCTTTGCTTTTGTTTACACTTGTTAATTTCCCTCGCGTGCATTGCTGTTAATTGCCTAATTGATTTTTGACATATTATTATTATTATTATTCCTTTACATTGCATGTACATACATACATACACACGTCATAGAGGAAAAAGGTTCAAAAAAGATCAATTTTGGCATGTGTCACACTATTAAGTTTCATGTTGAGAATTATTTTCAATTAGCGTTTTGTGAAGCATAAAGTACTATATACCGTACATAGAACAAAAGAGCTATTCGGGATGCTTACGGAGCAATTTACATGAAAAAGGGATTTTTTATTATAAAGGCAAATTAGTCATTAATAGCTTGAGCACTTTTTGTGCTCTATGCGCATAGAGAAAAGACACAAGACACAAGTAAATGTGAAGGAAGTAGACGAAACGAGTCATTTAATATGCAAACTATGCTCATCATAATTAACAAGCCATTAAATCGTTATGCAAAATTTTATTGCACTCTTAGGAAGCGGATAGAATGAATTGAGTGGATAAAGTTGCTGTTAATGAGATCTTGTGGATTCTCTTGATCATTATGAAATGAGTTGAGAATAATTTGAATTAAATTTATGAATAATTAAAACTTAGTCTAGTTTCTAACGGTTTTGTAGAATTTGAAAATTCAACGGTTTTGTAGAGTTTGAAATTTTAACGGTTTTGTAGAATTTAAAAATTAAACAGTTTTGTAAAATTTGAAAAAATTTTAACCTTAAAAACTTAAAATTTGAGTTTCAAATGAAAACAAATGCTATCAAAATTAACACTCTATTGACCAAATTTGACACAAAAAAGCGAAATTCTAAGAATCATCAACCAACAGCGACCGCTGTTAATTAAAAAGCAACACAAAAGACTGCAAAATGAAATACAAAACGCTTCAAAGAAGGCTCGATTATTGGTGCTTTAATTATTTCTTCAAATGCAAATCACTCAATGCCACTACACATCAAAGAAAGAGCAAATTTTCACACCTCACTGAGAGTTTCAAACTAGAAGTTGACACTAGAAAATAAAAAAAAATTATTGAAGTTGAATCGGGTAAACAGTGGGAGATAACACTTGTCTCTCGTCGTGTCTTTTTTTTTTAAAAAAAAATGTCAATGCAGAATCAATTTTTCTCATCAGCAGCTAGTAATCTCATACCTATATCTTTGTGTTTTCAAGAGAAAAAGGCAGTCTCCTTATAGTATGTTTTTTCGTGTGTGTCATATGAAAAATGATATCATGAAAAGCAATATTTAAAAGGCGTTAAAGTGAAGTGTCATGTAAATTCATTGTGATATATCAAAGACTGTGTTTCTCTTCTTACTTTGTCGATTTTTTCATGTATGGGATGATGAACAAGATTAACATCGTCATATCGCCAATATAGCATGCATATATTATTTTCATTTGATTGAGTTTTCTTCCTTTGTTTATTTTTTGAATGATTAATGTTGTGCTGAATAGGTTTTAGAGTTATTCAGCTGAATTCAGCTAGATCGAGGTAAATTCAGCTTAATCAGCTAGGTTGTGAACACAATTCAGCAAGTTTAGCAATTTGCCAGCTTAAATCAGATTATTCAGCTAGTTTAGAAGCGAATTCAGCTAATTTATCCATTTTAGAACTGAGTTCAAAGCTTAAT